ATTCGTTGTTGCAGCCCTAGTTTGATACAACTTCTGAATGATCCTTCCAGTTTGTTCATGTTGACAAATTGTAGTTTAAACTAATAATATGTACGAATAATTTCTTATTCCAGTTTGACAACCTCCACAGATTCTTGTCCACGGTGTTAAATCCCTGTGTAGCTCGTGCGCTCCTGAGATGCCACAGCAGCAAAAACTCAAGGAGAGCTCTGGCACCATGCAGAGTCAGCAGAAATCCTGTCTCCCCCACGCTGGGCGCTCCCCCACCTACTGTACACACAGTGTCCTTACATAACAGCGTGGCGGGAGATAAAAGGGCAGCTTTACTACAAGGCAGTGCACGGCTTAGCTTCCTGACCCACATCCTCTCCACAGCAACGTTGGGTTGATGCTCTGAGCAAACAATCACCATCGAGGACAGGGCGTGTTGATTGAGGGGCAGAGAGGATGGTGACGGCAGCAATGACTCTGTGCATGCAGGGCGTGGAGGGTTTGACTGCACTCTGTCTGTGTTTATTATTAAGAGCTGCTTCTCATGCTGCCCTGTGGAGGCGTTAGCTGCGTCCTTTATCAGCAGCCATTGTTTTGGGCCTGACACGCTGCAGCTCCAAACTGCACAATTTAATGTGTTTACATGGTGGTGTTTATCTATTTTACATTTGCCTGAGTGTTGAATTTAATTTCAATACATTTTATTTATAGAGCGCCAAGTCGCAGCAGAGTCGTCTCAGGCTGAACAGAAACATTCATGTGTAAAATAATAATTTGACTTTATTTATGTGAGGAGCAGCTTTGAGTTTAACTCCATCACTGAACTCTCATTTGAACAAGCATGAAGGCGACAGTGGAAAGAAAAACTCCTCATGAGGAAGAAACCTTTATCAGAACCAGGATCAGGACAAGAGGACCATCTGCTTCCACCGGCTGGGTTTGAAGAACAGACATGGTTAATGCACGCCCATTAAATAAAAAACAATATATAACAATATGCATGTTTATATATACGTAGATAAAAAAACTAAATGCATCATGAATCACCGGACAAATAATTTACATCTCATGCACTGTCAAAATAACTCGAACCATCCCAAATATTCCAGTTGATCCCATAACCCCTAATTAAACCACGTTCCTTTACGGTCTGAAAATATGGAGTTTGTTTTAATGCTTGCTGGGTTTGTGCATGTTTGGGGGGAGAAGTCGACCTGTCGCAATAAATCAGTCGCATGATAAATGAAAATTATCAGCCTCGTTTTCATTTATCATCTTTATCGTTTCTTCGTGTCTCTCTGCTGAAGACACTGGAGGACAAGAGGCTCAACTCTGGTTCTTCACTGACTCCGCCCTTTCTCTTTTCTCCTTAAAATCCATTTTAACTATCCACAACCGTGTTTTTGGATCATTAAAAGCAGCTAAGCTGAGAAGTTAACAGGCCGACCTCAGGGGGGGAAAACCTCCGTCTTGTCAAAGCTCCAAGATTCATGGTTGAACTCTGTACCTTCGTCTAAAAAGTTGTTCTTCTCTGCAAAAAGAAGCGGAGAACTTTACTGATTTTTTTTAAAGCTTTGTGTGAAAAATGCTAAAGAGCTCAAACCACACCGACTGTCCACCATTTTGAGAACCGAAAAACAGAACGACAGCCCATGTCACGTCAAGTGGCCTCCCTACCATTTTTCTTAGAGACGCGCTGCTCGCTCCCTCACTATCCATCCTTCAGTTCCAACAGTCTTATACTGCCATCCAATGGTCAAAAAAGGTACTACACATAACAATTAACCAACATTTCTTCTTAAATTTGACTTTACTAATTATTGTCAAATTTCAAACAATATTATCATTTATCACAATAATTTCTGAGACGATTAATCACCCATCAAAATGTGTTATCATGACGGGCGTAGAGAGGAGGTCTAATGTACATGCACAGCCTTTTTGTAGTTGTAAACAATACAAATATAGGCTGAACTATTGGCTAAGAACCACAACCTTGCCCCTCCGTACCTATCTGACCTCCTGCTCATCTCCATCCCCTCTCGCTCTCTCAGATCCTCCTCTTCACTACACCTCCATGTACCCTCTGCCCGCCTCTCCACCGTGCAGAGCAGGGCCTTCACCTGCTCTGCTCCTCATCTCTGGAACTCTCTACCCCCTGACTTAAGAAACACCACCTCTCTGTCTCTGTTCAAGACTGCTCTGAAAACACATCTCTTTACACTCGCTTAGCCTTAACTTTGCTCTATGTATTTTATATCTTTATGTATTTTATATTCTTTGTGTTTTATATTCTGTATGTATTTTATATTCTTTGTGTTTTATATTCTGTATATATTTTATCTTTATGTATTTTATACTTCAGTTTATTCCTGTTGATCTTTGCACTGTGCTTGTTGTTTGTTTAACACAATCTTTCTGATGTTTCCTACTGTAAAGTGTCCTTGGGTGTCCTGAAAGGCGCTCTTTAAATAAAGTGATTATTATTATAAGTGGAAATGTCTCCAGTTTAAAAATGGACTAGATTATTTGCTTTACATAATGACTAAACACAAAGCCCCAGATAAGTGATCCATATAATTAGGGCTGTGTTGATTGCAGTTTTATGGCCCATCACGATTTCTAAAGTCTGACCTGCCGCTTCCATTTTAGTTTTATAAGCAACACTGTCGGCTGTTGTCAGGTCACCATGCACCTTCGGTTTTCCATCCTATTTTATTGAAAACCAAACCCTTGAACAATATCCTAGAACAGTACAAACTGGTTTTAACTGGCCATGAGGTAGTGCTCTGAAATATAAATGAAGTTTAGACAATTGTCAAGTCA